ATTTCCCCTTGTTCTGTCACTACATGCCCTTATAAGAAGTCCCTCCCCAGCCTTTCTGCAGGCCCTTCAGGTACTGGAAGGCCACTATAAGGTCCTCCTGGAGCCCCCTGTTCCCCAGGCTGAACAACCCCAACTCTCTCAGCCTGTCCTCACAGGAGAGGTGTTCCAGCCCTTGAATCATCCTCATGGTCCTCCTCTGGATTCGCTCTAGTGAGTCCATGTCCTTCTTATGTTGGGGCCTCAGAACTGGATGACTGGATGCAGTACTTCAGGTAATAATAACAAAAATAACAATAACAACAACAACAATAATAATAATATTGTAATTCAGTTTGTCTTGGAGATTTTCTGTATTGTCACAAGTAAAAATACTTTCTCAAATATTGTATGAAATAGCTAAGTCAAACGAACAGATGGGGGAATGCCTTCTTAGTCCTATAATGGAAACATGCTGCATTTTCAAGATATTATAGGTAGATCATTTGCCAAACTTAGGAACAGGAAAGGATTTTTCCCTGCAGGCATATTTTCTTTCCACCTTTATCTTTGAGATCTTTGAAATTAAATTTTTGTGTGAGTTTGTAATGTTCCTATAATGAATAGCTATTGCAGATTAAATTCTGCAAGACTGCAGCTCCAGCAATTAATCAATTTAACATTATTGCTGGTGAGAGTCTACTGCTCTGTGGAAAGAAAAGATTCTCATATTCTTGTGTATCCTTGGTCTCCCTCATGAGTGGAGCTTGGAAAGAGACAGAGATTACTTGAATCCTGGGAAGCAGGGTAATAAGGCACTTTTATGAATTATCTGGGGTAAATTTTTATTAGCACAGTAGATCCAATTAATGCTTCATAGAGAGGTAAGAGTGGGGTGGCAATCCAGGAGTCAGAACCTCTCATAGAATTTGCAGGTAATCATGATCTTGAATCCTAAAATGCATGTCAATAATACCGTTAAACTCTCTTGTATGTATTTATAAGTGCCAGCACACACCTATTACAAAGTCCCCCTGGGAATTTCCACAGCATCTGTATTTCTGTTCGACATAATTAGAATGAATTTTATCTGATCTGACAACTAAATATTAGCTCTGATGCTTCATGAAAAAGATACTTGTCCAGCTTTAGGAGTTAAAGGGGCACTTAGCTGCGGTTACCATAGCCAGCAGCAGCAAACACCCAGACCTATGAAATTTGGTTGTCTTTTGGATACCAGACTGCAAGAATGAGTCTAAACTAATCCTTGGTAATAGCAAGAAAAGAGCTGTAAAATTGGTGCATGTTGACTGTTCCTTTTAGCACACTTCAAAGTTCAAATAGGTTAGTCAGTGTTTTGCAAAATCTAACAGTGGACAGTATATTATTTAGCAGGAATACTTTCTGTCTACAGACTAAATCCATTATGCTACAGTCTATCTTCTTTTTTCTACATAAAGGCATAATATAAGAATATAATGGTAAACCATTTAAAAAGGGAATACAAGATACAAGTGGTCTAGTTCTTGAGAGACTCCTCTCTAAGGTCTATGACAAAAGCTCGATAGTTTGGACGTCATCGTTTTCTCTCTCCCTTTCCTTTGACTGGAGACATAAGCTGCCTCTAACACTACCTAACAGTCACAGGTCTTTTATTATTTATAGTCCATTGCAAACACCCTTAAAACTACACCTGTATTTCTACATATATTGGAGATAACAGGAACAGAGACTGTTTTATGGCATTGAGTACAGTCATGGTCTGCCGGTGTTCACACTACATTACAGCTGTCCTTGAGTTTCAGCTGTGACCCTCAGAAAAATAATTGGTCTTCATGTGTTTATTTTTACTTCAAATTTTCTATATTAAGGTGAGTGTTGCATTGCAGCCCACTAGCAGTCTTTTTTATTTTTATTTTTTTTAAACAAGCAAACAGTGACTCTACGGTAATAAGTCAAACATGTCCAAGACCATTCTCTGGCACCATCTAGCATGGAATGCTCTCCATGAATGTTACTAAATTCTCTTAGTGTCCAAAATAAGAAGTCTATGTGAATAGTATGTAGGTTGCACTGGTTCCTTAAGAACATTTCAGGAACTGTTTGGAGAGACAAAGGTGATCCATACTAGAATAGTCAAGATAATTCTAAAAATTAATCCATATAAAAACTGGCATTTTGGCACCCAGGAATATTCACCCAAATGTCATTAATAAGATAGGCATAGCCTGAGGGTTTGTCTTGTGTGGATATAGAGAAACACATGCTGAGAGGTTGATGTTGTAGAGACTGCTGGGAGAGTGTTAAAAGGACGGATGGAGCCAAGCTTGACACAGTCTTGTCTTTATGGCCTATTTAGTATTTCTTAACCTCAGCACCACATTCATAGCATTTGTTATCCTCAGAACTGTGGAAGGATGTTGTCTCAGAGAGTGCCAGCTGGCACTGGTCACAGACAAAGCAGAGAAAGTGTTAAATATTTAAGTAGTATGGCCAATCACACTAGCTTGACTTCACGAACAGGCTTTATACTATTTTGCAGTCAAGCTGCTTTGAAGGATCAGAATAGCAGTGTTTTGAGAATAGCAGTATTTTGTCCACACAACAATATTTAAATTCCCAGTGCAAAGGAATCTGGGTGGCCATTTGGACATTTTATGGCTTTTTTATTTTACTTTACCTCAGACAGACAGCCACATTATGTGTAAGAACACAGGAAAGCCCCCAGGCTTAGTCAGAGGAACCATAAAACAGGGAGGTGAGATGGGGTTAGTCTGAGTCAGTACTTCTGAAACACAGCCACAACTGGTGCAGTATTGTTGCTGCTCTCACTTTCTCAGCAGCGATTCCCAATGGCGTCATCCTTCCCTTTATACAAAAAAAATGTTTTCCTGCTTTATAATAATACTTCTAAAAACATTAGGCCATGGAGCAACAAAGCTGCAAACAAGCCAAGAAAAAGGTGTAAGCATCTTAAATACATCACGTGAATCAGAAGAAAATATATAACCGGAGGCCTGATTCTTGAGAGCAGAAAGTGTACAGCCTTGCTGGTGTTTATTTGGTGTTGGATTACACCATCCTGAGGGATAGGAAGAATGTTTTAGTATCTGTTGCCACAGAGAATGTTCTCATTGTGAATGATATGATATTCCTACCTTTCAATAAAGAAGATTGAAATTCAGAATTCTTTATATCACTATAAAAATCCTGTTCATATTGCTTTCATTTAATTTTAGAGTTGCTTGCTGATCAGAATTTAGTTGTTGATTCATGTTTTTCTTCTTCTTTTCTATACATTTACCTTAAAGCATATTTAAGTTAATCTTTTATTTCCTTAAACTTACTGTGTGAATCTTTGTCTGGTGCATTATTTGAAGCATTACGTGACTGCTTAAGGTAACTATACTCTCTGGGTGAAAATGACATAGGAGATTAAGGCATGATGTTAAACTACCAAGAAACCACAATCACACACAAGGTCAGCATTTCAACAAAAGCAGGTCACCAAAGCAAACCCTTGTCTCATTTCAAGGTTTCTATGACCACTGCTATGGCTGCATTTCAGTAGTTCTGCCTCTTTCTTCTCTATGAACTAGAATCTAAAATCTGAAAGTATATGTGCTGTGCTTAGAGCCCATATAATAATTAAAAATGCTTTTGTTTGCATATGTAAACAGTGAGGATAATATATAAAGTTTGGTTGATATATACTAATCACTGGATGTGGAAGTTTATCCCAAGATCTATAGGTTCCATGCAAATATTATGGTTGTTCAATTTTTTTGGAGACACATAAACTGCTGTATTGCTTCTGGTAGAGAGTAGAGAAAAAAACCTCAAATAATCAAAACTCTAAAAGACCTAATCATACTGACAGAGATCAAACTAAATGGTCATTAACTAGTGGAACCAAACTTTCTTATTCAATGACGTTGAAGTCTGAAATTATGGAGATTCAACCTGAAGAAACTTACATGAAATTCATTTTTTATATAGGTTGTGATCCATAAGGTTTGATAACTGCAGCAATTCATAATTCAAAATTTGACACATTCATAATCACTATTTGGATGTGAAACTCTCATGCCAAAATTAGTATTGAAGAAAGAGAGATAGAACAAATGATTGAGAATCTCTTGAACAAAGCAGTCTTCTGCAGCAACGTGGCCTGTTCTACACTTTTTCAATAGATAGGTAGCCAGCAAAACAAAACAAAGAAAAAAATTTTTTAAAAAAGAAAATCAGGTGAAAATGAAGAGGCAGATAATTTAAAAATGGAAACCATGATAACCATGATGTTTAATATTGCAATATGACAGTTTGATCTCAGAATATTTTACAAACAAGTTGCACCAAAGTAGTTTTAATGAATTGCTCATCATGTTCTCTACAGTACCAATTGAACAAGCTTCTGACATCTACTATGTCAGAAGGCTAAAATCTGCTAAAATGAACACTTCACATTTACTTTCAGGAAAATACTTTTAATAATCAGGAATAATTCAGTAAAACTTACTTCAAAGTCAAGGTCCGAATAACGTGATTTTCTTCTCTATTAAGCAGTAAAAAAGAAAGAAAAAAGAGGTTGTATTAACAAGGGGACTGTTCACCAAATCATATTAATGAGTCTAAATAACATTCTTGTTTACCTGTCTGTGAGAGGTTGTAGATTTTATCTTTATAATTTAAGATTAATATGTGACTTTGCATATAGTTTTTTAGACTAGTATCATATTATTTTATATTATTTTATCTGAAATAAACCAGACTGCATTGCACTGGGATGCATAAGGTGCATGTTATTTGCATGCTATTGAACCTGCTAGTGTAGAAAATATCTCTATTTCTATACCTTCTGTGTTATTTGTAAATTATAATAATATTTATACTTTTTACACAGCTATCTATACATATCTATGATTTAGATTTGTATAGGTATGCAGAAATTTGATTCTTTCCTGCATCAGGCTTACATTGGTACAACTCCATTGATTTTAATGGAATAAATGATAGCAAAATCAAGCTGAAGCCATCTATACTTTCCATAGCTTCAGCTTGTTTGTTTGCAATGATAATCTGGATGGAGAAAGCAATGATAGTTCTACATTTATGACAAATCTGATTCAAAGCATCTGATATAAAGCAAGAATGATTTACTAGTGAAATAATCACTTGTATACAATGCAACTGAATATGATTGCTTAGACATATCACAAATAATTTACCACAGATTTTGTACAGATTATAAAATAAACCAATTATAAAGTCAAATTATATTGGAAAGAAGCAGAAATACTATAAGGAGGAGATAAAAGTATCTTTTTTTCTCCTAAGATTGGAAATTGAATGCCTTGCAATAGTTTAAAGAGATGTAGAGACAACAGTTGAAAAAGCTAAAAAAAGAGTACAAAGAACATGTGAATGAAAGGAAAAGATACATTCTCCTTCAGTAAGGAGAGTTAAAGGAGGGGAAAAAGACCCCAAGAAAAAAACCCCCAGGCTTTCTGCTCCGATTTAACCCTAATTTTTGTGGTCATATAGGATGGCTTTAAGTCATGGTGACTGAACCTTTTTAAATCAAACACATTAAGTCAAGGTGAATAATGTTATTGACTTCATTAAGCTTTGATCTTTTTTGGTTCAACAAACATTCAGGTTTTAGTAAGCTGTTCTGTTTTCTTGCAACTGAAAGAATTTTACAAGTCTTTCAGTTGTAGAAATATGTAACTTTGTGATATATTGTCTGGTTTTGTAGTAGAATTTTGAAACTCCAATCCACAATAATATGAAGATCACTGTAGCACTGTAGACACACTCTGATGCCTAAAGAGCTGGGAGGCAGTATAAAAGAACAGATGATAAAACAATTCAACGAATCAGCTACAACAAGCTTTGAAGAAGCTATATTTAATCAACAAGGCTTAATTTAACCTAGCACACTTAAAAGAGAGTATTTAAAAATAAACTAAATAATTCTGCAAAATTAGGAGCATGAAAACATGGAAACAACAAATGTCTTGGTGAAAAGAAAAATGTGTGGACATTTGACCCAGAGTCATAAAGTAGCGAAGTTCTTACTTCTCACTCATATTACAAGAGTATCTTTGACACAGGCCTTTATCATTCTACAGTAAACCAACACCTGAAAAAATCTACGTATCTCTAATGAATAAGGATTTATTTTTAAGGTGCAATTAGAGCACATCTACCACTGTAAAGGCTCAGCAGTTACAAAAGAATAAACTTGTACAGCAGATAATGAGATGAAGCTTATAGGAGCAGCTTTGAAAAATGCTAAAAAAAGCTATTTTTAAGCTACAGTTCAGTAATAAACCTGATATAATGGAGCAGTCTGACTGAGAATCCTAAGTGAAAACATGGAAAATTTAGGAAGAAATGTGTAGTTTGCTGGATATTGTGATTTATAAAACTGGAACATTTGTATTTTGCCTTAAGTCACTTCACCACAGTGAAAATACTCTTGGCATAGCTGGGTTATTAGGTTTTGCAGCCACACAACTCTATCACTATTTACATGATAAAAAGACATATCTAAGAGACTGCAACATATTTAACTGTGCTATTGTCAGAAAGTGGTAACTATTGCAATTTTGCTGTTAGATCACACTAGTTATGAACAAATAGGTTCCTACCTCAGGTTAATCTCAGTGAGGATTTTTCTAGGACTCAACAAGAATCTGTCACAAACAGGTTTATTTTAAACTTATACAGTAAAGAATATTTGTTCTATGCTTGTGCTTCACTTTTTTCCATGGCTGCATATTGTGAAATACAGCACAAGTTCTGTCAGAGTCTATTCTCCTAAGACATAAAAAGTGTGTTACTCTCACAGTTCTGAGCAGTAGCAGTGAAGTTCTGTGAAATTCTGAAAAACAAAAAATGCTGGTTATGAATGTGATCCTGCACTACAGAAAGTCATCTGCAATATTGACACTGACACCACTAGGTCCTTGATCATATCCTCCTGGCTACTACATCATTGACTTGAAATGAATGCAGTGTTATTTTTTGAGAGAAGGAGACACTCAGAAGCATTAGCTCATTGGGAATCTTAATTTATGAAAATGGAAGTTTCCTTCTCATCCCTATTGGAAATTGTCTTTTTACTAATTTTTTCTCCTAGTTTCTATATGAAATACAACAAGCTTAAAACATGCAAATCAACATTTTCATTGTGATTGTATACATACTTTTTTTCTTAAATGAAGTTTTCTTGTGTCTTTTTTGACAGAGAAAAATGGAGTTTTCCACACATACCTAAATGCTTTCAGAAATCAACCATCTGGCTCATTCTACAATTTAAATTAATGAAAGCCAGCAGCTGAGTGAAGTAAGGAAAAAAAAAAAAAAAAAAAAAAAAAAAAAGCAGCTCTTGCATCAAATGAGCTGCTGAAATAGTCACACCAGCATGTTTCTTTTGAAAAAGCTGTTTCTTTTACCCACCTGCAAAACTAAGAATGATTTTAGCCAATATAAAAATTAGACTGAAAGCTGGTGGTTTTTTTCAAGGATCAGTTGGAGATCCACTTAAGTATTAATGTTAGTAAAATATTAATAACAAATGACTGTGAAAGATAATATATCTATGGGTTGCCTCATTTAGTATTTTGTGTTTGGCCAGGTTCTGTGTGGATGCTTCAGGAATGATATAGAGAAGAGCATGTATAAAGCAGTATTTCTGCTGCAATACCCTCCCTAGTTCTTCAATAGTTTAGGAATTTCCTTGGGAGGAGCTTGTTCTGTTGAACTTAATAACACTTTTTTATATTATTCCATTACTCTAATCATGTTTTATGATTATTCCTAATTTTGACATCCAATATGTCCTGAAGTAGTGAATTCCACAATTTAAATATGCATAGCATGATGAGAAAATAATGTTATTTATCCCTTTGCCATTTCATTTAATGCTCTTGCTTTTTATATTATAGGAAATATGAATAATTGTTCCCTACCCACTACTCAGTCTTCTGTTTTCCAAGCTGAAGAGCCCTAATACTGGAGATCTGCAAGGGTAACTAACAAAGAGACTGCCTAAAAAGCTGAAGACACATGCAATTATTTAGCGTCAGGGAGTCATCTGGGATAATTCTGAAAAAGCTGAGGTGAACGGGTAAGTAGTGAACTGCAATCCATGCACAATTACAGATGCTACAAAAAAAGAGGTCAGGTCTCCATTTAAGTGGGCAAGGATGTGAATAGACTTTTCTGAATAACTCAAGTTAAGTTTCTTTGGTGCTCTAAGCTGACAGAAGCCAAATCATGTCAGTAAACTAGGGAAATTTCAGATGAGAGCAGCAAAAAATACTTTCAAAAAGTTAATAACACTGGATCAAGGGGAAAAGATAAAAGAGTGATACAGCTTGTTTAAACATTGGCTCTGGAAGAGGCAAACACAGAAGCTTGTTCAGGAATCTTAGAAAGATATAAGCACTGATAAAGTTAGTATACAAAAAATCAGAAAAGTTATAATTTGGAAAAAATAGAAAAAAGTTAAAGGAAATTTTAGACATGCTTTGCGGAATAAAGAAAGTTTACATAACTATGAAATAATCTGCTAAGGGAAACAGTGGAAGCCCTTCACTCTAGCCTTAAAAGTGAGGTTTGACTATGTATTAGAGAAAAATGCTGTAGAAAATGTGCTTTCATTGATAGAAGAGATGACCTGACAAGATTTTTTTCCATCTCTGATTTCATAGCTCTTTTTGTCTTAACTGATAAAATCAGTTTTACAGCAAAAAAGAAAACCCCGCCCTTGATGCCAGGACCAAAGTGAAACCTTGTGAAAAGACGTCTGCAGTAATTTATTTTAAATCAATTTTACTTTGTACTAATCATATATAGCTTCTCTGTGTAATTCCAGAGCAACTTTAAACTCTGCTCACTGAGGGACAAAAATAGAATACTGAAGAATAATTTCCGTACACCAGCATGCACTAATCGGCTGGCACCAGGAAAGAGCTGCTCTCACTAAATGACTAATAAAATCCCTCTCCGTCTCTGTAAAATGACAAATGCCTGGTTTTCTCCTTATTCTAGTCTGCATTACACCACAACCTGATTAATTACATGAGATACTCCTGAAGATATATTGCATTGTGCAAAGTATAATTGAAACCAGAGATACCATATTATAGTGAGGGCTATAACCATACTTCCATTCATATAAAGCCTTATTATCAGCAGTTTATAATTCACCCTGAGATTAGATTTGACATACAAGATCTTAGCCTGGGGAGGATTTTTTCCCTGAATAAAATTAAAGGAAATTTTTTTTTGGCCCTCAGAGATATAAAAGTGGAATGTGGATAGATAGTTTTGATTTAAAATGCCTTTTGTGTGCATATAACTGAAAAAAACCCCTTAGTTTCTGAATAGAGGGTTATGTTGGCTATTAGTTCATAACACGAGGTAGACATAAAGCAAGTACATTTTCCCAAGAAATTTGATTAGCTCTTTAATGTGGGAATTTTATGTCTTTGAAATATGCTAACAAATTTAACACATCAACACATAGCACAAACGTAACTT